TCCCGTTTGTGTTCCTGACTCTCCTTTCCTCTCTTCTTTACTTTTTTCTTTTGCTCTCACCATATTTCTCGACCTTCTTTGCGATATCGTTTCTCCTCCCCCAGTCGACCATTTTTGCATTGTGCACGCACATCACGCACATCACGCGCATCGAAACGGTTGCTAGCCTGTACGCGGTCAACAAAAGGCTGCATCCGGACCAACGCCGCCCCCTTGTTTTGGTTCTCTTTGTTTAGGCTCGAACCTTTCACTTTATTTTATTTGACCTGCCTATTTTCTGCAATTTTGCTGCAGTCTTCGTGCTTTGTGCACGCTTTTATCTTGTTCTCCTTTTCCAATTTTTGGATTGTTTTGACTCTTGGGACTCCTGTCTTCTGGCGTCGACGCACCTCCCACAGTCCAACACAGCTCCGCCTCAGCCAGCGCAGCCGCACCTTGGTTTTCCGACAACCAACAAAAACCGACCTTGCCCCCTGCCTCCCCTCCTCTCGATTTTCATCACGTCCGTTTCGTGCTTCCGCCAAACCTTGTCCAAAACAAAGACGGAACTTCACCACTCACGCAGACGCCGATTTGCATCAGCTTTATTGCGAAGCGTTGTCGATTTTCGACCTCCTGCGAAATAAGGCTTTTCTAGCTAGCATCTTTATATACGACTCTAGTCTGCATTCCAGCTGACCCCAGCGACCCCAACTGCATTCTCACTCGCAAACTTTCTCTACTCTTCACTCTCTTTCCTCTTTTCTCCCACACGCAGTCTTTCTCTCCTCCGCCATGGCGTATCGTGGCCGCGAAGGAGGCGACTACGAGGGTAACGAGGGCCATCATCTGCAGGAGCTGCCTGCAGCCGGCCAGGTAAGTCGACTAAACAAAGCAACCACGAAAGCCGCGAGCGGGCGAAAGCAAGAGCCGCGACGCATGTTGTGGACAATAAGCTAACGTGAGTCTCCACCGCGAAAAGTACCACATCCCGCCCGCCGACGACAATGAAGAGCTTCAGCACTCTCTTCTGAACCAGGGCTCCTCGCACTACGACCATGACCGCTTGGGTACCGGCGTGTCCAACATCCGCCCCGAATCCACATACAGCTTGTCAGAGTCCTATGCCCCAGGCGCAGCTACAAATGTCCGTACCGGGCCTGGATTCCCGGCCGCCCCGTCACCTTTTCAGAATGACACCGGCATGTCCACCGGAGGTGCCTACCTTGGTGACCCGTATGGTGGCTTTGGCGGTGCGGGCCCCGGTCGGCCGCAGTCAACCGTCTCGATGGGCGGCGACATGGACGAGAGCTTCTACCGCCGCCAGCAGCAGGCATCAGGTGGTGGCCTGAAGCGCTACCCGACACGTAAGGTCAAGCTGGTACAGGGCTCCGTTCTGAGCACGGAGTACCCCGTCCCCAGTGCTATTCGCAACTCGGTGCAGCAGCGCTACCTCGAGACGGAGGCCAACCACAACGAGTTTGTCAACATGCGCTACACGGCTGCCACCTGCGACCCGAACGACTTCACCCTGAAGAACGGTTACGATCTGCGCCCGCGCATGTACAACCGTCACACCGAGCTGCTCATCGCCATCACGTACTACAACGAAGACAAGGTGCTCCTGTCCCGTACCCTGCACGGTGTCATGCAGAACATCCGCGACATTGTGAACCTGAAGAAATCCACTTTCTGGAACAAGGGCGGGCCTGCCTGGCAGAAGATTGTCGTCTGTCTCGTTTTTGACGGTCTTGAGAAGGCCGACAAGAACGTGCTGGACGTCCTTGCCACCATTGGTGTGTACCAGGACGGTGTCATCAAGAAGGACGTTGACGGCCAGCCCACGGTCGCTCACATTTTCGAGTATACGACGCAGCTGTCTGTCACGCCCGGTCAGCAGCTTATCCGCCCTGTCAATGACGGCCCGACAACTCTGCCGCCCGTCCAGTTCATCTTCTGCTTGAAGCAGCAGAACAGCAAGAAGATTAACTCGCATCGTTGGCTCTTCAACGCCTTTGGCCGCATCCTGAACCCCGAGGTCTGCATTCTGCTCGATGCCGGTACCAAGCCCAGCCCCAAGTCTCTGCTTGCGCTCTGGGAAGGCTTCTACAACGACAAGGACCTCGGTGGTGCTTGCGGTGAAATTCACGCCATGCTGGGCAAGGGCGGCCGCAAGCTGCTCAACCCGCTTGTTGCGGTCCAGAACTTCGAGTACAAGATCTCCAACATTCTCGACAAGCCGCTTGAGAGTGCCTTCGGTTACGTTAGTGTGTTGCCTGGTGCTTTCTCGGCCTACCGCTTCCGTGCCATCATGGGCCGTCCTCTGGACCAGTACTTCCACGGTGACCACACGCTGTCCGCCATTCTCGGCAAGAAGGGTATCGAGGGCATGAACATTTTCAAGAAGAACATGTTCTTGGCCGAGGACCGTATTCTCTGTTTCGAGCTGGTCGCCAAGGCAGGCCAGAAGTGGCATCTCTCCTACATCAAGGCCGCGAAGGGCGAGACGGATGTGCCTGAAGGTGCCGCCGAGTTCATCGGTCAGCGTCGTCGTTGGTTGAACGGTTCGTTTGCCGCCAGTTTGTACTCGCTGATGCATTTCGGTCGCATGTACAAGAGCGGCCACAACATCATCCGCATGATCTTCCTGCACCTGCAGCTGCTGTACAATGTCGCTAACGTCATATTTACCTGGTTCTCCCTTGCATCCTACTGGCTTACGACATCCGTTATCATGGACCTTGTCGGCACGCCTGTCGTCGCTTCGGCCAAGTCATCTGAGCACCACGGTTGGCCTTTTGGTGACACTGCCACGCCCCTTATTAACTCGATCCTCAAGTACATCTACCTGGCCTTTGTCATTTTGCAGTTCATTCTGGCGCTGGGTAACCGGCCAAAGGGCTCCAAGTATACCTACGTTACGTCGTACCTTGTCTTTGGCTTTATCCAAGCCTACGTACTGGTCCTGTCCGCTTTCCTCGTCGTCGAAGCCTTCAAGACGCCCGTCTCAGAACAGATCAAGACGGATAACGTCAACGATTTCTTGGGCAGTGTCTTTGGTGCCAACGCCGGTGCGGCCGGTGTGATTATCCTCTCTCTGTTCGCTATCTATGGTCTCTACTTCATCTCCTCGTTCCTGTACCTCGACCCCTGGCACATGTTCCACTCGTTCCCCTTCTACCTGATTCTCATGTCGACCTACATCAACATTCTGATGGTCTACGCTTTCAACAACTGGCATGATGTTTCTTGGGGTACCAAGGGTTCGGACAAGCAGGAGGCTCTGCCTTCGGCGCAAGTCACCAAAGGCGAGAAGGATGAGGTGGTTGTAGAGGAGATTGTCAAGCCTCAGGAAGATATCGACAAGCAGTTCGAGGCCACGGTCAAGCGTGCTCTGGAGCCGTTCCACGAGGACGAGAAGCCCGAACCCAAGGATATCCAGGACTCATACAAGTCTTTCCGTACGATGCTGGTCGTCCTGTGGCTGTTCTCCAACTGCCTGCTGGCTGTTATCATCACGAGCGACAACTTCAACGGCATTGGCATTGGTGTATGTTACCCCCAGCTCCCCACCCGCCCTTGTTATTTGGTCTTGACTCTTACTAACGTGTCTTCGCACAGCAAACGACCACCACCCGTACAGCCTACTTCTTCAAGTTTATCCTGTTCGCGACCTGTTTCCTTTCCATCTTCCGTTTCCTTGGTTTCCTTTGGTTCCTCGGCAAGACGGGTCTCATGTGCTGCATTTCCCGTCGTTAAGACGAAGACAAAGCGAGATGTCCGCGTCGGCCAATCGATATACAACCCATCTAAACCGAGGCGTGGACTTTTTACCAAGGCTCGCGCACATGGATGCTGGGGACGATAGATTGGAAAGAGGGAGGTCCTGGGCAAGCAATTCCAGGCCATACAAAATGGTACACTGGCTATCCCCGGTGACCAGCATGCGCCCGTTTTTTTGCTTTTCTTTTTCAAAGGGTTCCAAGAGAGCGTAAAAACGGCATGGGATCTTTGGCGTTTCTATATTTTTGACACAAAGTTTTGTGTTCCATTTACTTGTTGCTTGTTTTGCCTACCTTTTTGGGTCTTTTTTCTATTATCCTTTTGTCCACTTTCCACTGTCTTCCGCTATATCTTTTTTGCTTTTGTTTTCGAATCTTCCTTGCTTTCATTTTGTTCCTTATATTTGATTGAGAAAGACCATTTCGAGCGATGTCATTATATCTGCCATCCTCCCCATTTTAATTGAGAGATATCCACACACTTTACACGAAATTGGTGAATTTTTAAAATTTTAAAATTTTAAATTCTTTCAAGAGTGTCGTCGCTAAGGCGTTTGTATTCATTGTTTTGGCTTGTCACCTTTCATTTTTCAAATTCTGTTTGTGATGCAAGTGGCAAGTGGCGAGATGGGTTGTGGTTAGTTAGAGTAGATGACTAATATTCTAGAAGAGAATGGCCTTTGCCTGCCCCCCAGTCAATGAGGTGTCGCTGGCTGACCGCAAGGCAGCATAAGCAGCAAACCCCACCTGTGGCATCTTGCGGCATCGTTTGCCCACAACCCAAAAGCGAACTGATTCTAACTCCGCAATACCAACCTGCACTTTTTGCGATCGCGTTGTTTGGTCTCTTCGTTTTCTAAAAATTTCTAGCATTTTTCTTTCGCTGCACGGACAAGGCACACGATCAACACTCTCGTTCTACTGCGGGCACGATACGAACCAGCATCAGCGTCACTTGCTTTCTCCCCCAACGCGATTTCCATTTCCTCCTTGTCGATTCTTCTTTTCGTCGCGATTACCCCCTCGTTTGTCCGCTGTCAACAACCCCCACCGCCGTCTCAATCTCACACCGGGCCTTTCTTTTGTGCAGCTGGCGGTGCAACTTGTTTCGAGTGACTGGACGAGCTTCCGACGTGCCCGACATATCCGGTGTCCTCCCTCCGACCTCCATCTCCCCTCCTCCCCGTCGGCCCTTCAAACCTCACGCGCGCAGAGTTTGTGCGCACCCGACGGCTCACGATGTTGAAGATTTGGTCCATGGTAGGTTCCCAAGGCCTTGGGAGGCCGATGCCGGTAGGCAGAGGGTGTGCGTGCGTGCGTCTGATTGACGACTAACCTGTTTTCTCCCCTGGCCATAGAAGAAGGAGCAGCAAAAGGCCGAAAATGCCGAAGGCGCTGCGGCGGGCGGCAAGAAGAAGAAGGTCACGGCCGCCCAGCTGCGGGTACAAAGGGACCTGTCGGAACTCTCGCTGGGCTCGACCATGCGCATCGACTTCCCAGACCCGGACGACATTCTCAACTTTACTCTGGTCATTGAGCCTGACGAGGGCATGTACCGCGGCGGCCACTTCACCTTCAAGTTCCACATCAACGCCAACTTCCCGCACGACCCGCCCAAGGTCGAGTGCCAGCAAAAGATCTACCATCCCAACATTGACCTGGAGGGCAAGGTGTGCCTCAACATCTTGCGGGAGGACTGGAAGCCCGTGCTGAACCTGAACGCGGTCATTGTGGGCCTGCAGTTCCTGTTCCTCGAGCCCAACGCGTCCGATCCGCTCAACAAGGACGCGGCCGAGGACCTGCGCGCACACCGGGAAATGTTCCGGCGCAATGTGCGGGTGGCGATGACGGGCGGTTCGGTGCGCGGCGAGCCGTTTGACAAGGTGATGCTTCCTGGAAAATAGGAAACCGAAGTCGACACCAACATCAACAGCGCGGCACAGCAGCCTGGGCTGCGTATGCTGCCTACGCTGCCTACGCTTCCTACGCAGACGATCAATAGAGACGAGCAACTCGATGCTATTGTTTCTCCGCCCGTCTCTACCTCCCTCTCTACCTCAACACCCGCAGTCCATACCTCTCCCACCCCCCGTCCCCGTCGCAGGCGTCGTCGCGCCCCCCGTCGGGGCTGAATGGACATCTCCGGACTGGCCTGGGCAGCGCGTCTATCCTCTCTTCCCCTCCCCCCTCCCTTTTACCCCTTTGCGGGGGACTGCGAGATCTTTACGTTCCACGGTCTCGACCAGAAGGTTTCTAGAATTGGAGCCGTGCCTTGCACCGTGCTCCACCCTGCCCTTATTTTTGTGTTTATCTTGGGGTTTATGCTTATGATTGTTTGCGGGGAAGAGCTGGGGAAGCGCTGGGGAAGCGCTGCCGATATGCCGGGAGATGGATGGCAATCAGATAAGACGGACAAAATGAAGGGGAGATGACGACATTGGGCGCATCATGAGGAGTCTCGGGTCTGGGTTTAGTTGCATCATGCATGTCTGTTTTATTCTGCTCGTTTTTATCTGAACGGTTGTTTCTGCGTTCGCCTTTCTTTTTGTCTTTTCATCATCGTGCCTATGTATTTCACTGCAGCATCATTATTTTCCAGATGAATCATTAACATATTTTAAGTCTTTCAGCTGTGCTGTCCGCAATTCTCAAGGTGAACTATGACAAGTTTCCGTATCGTTCTTAATTTAATCCGTATTACCACGACCGTCTCCGAGCTTGCTACTGTTCTTGGATGCTCCATCCGTTATGTGTGTATATAAACATCACGAGCAGGTTCTCTAGAGAGTGAGACAGGCCAAGAGGCCGTAAGTTTGCCTATCAAGAACAGTTCTGGAACATGAGCACGTGTGCTTGTAGCATGTGTCGGATTACAGCGATTGCAACTCGACAAGCCCCATTCAGGGACCTGCCATTATCGGTAAGTACCTTGAATTGCAACGAAGCTCTTTCGCCATAGTGCCGGAGCCTGCCATGTGCGTTCTCGGCCGGGTGTGAGTCGCAATTGCTTCGTTTCTCCAACTTGTTCTTCCCTTACCAAAGAAACCGTTCGATTTTGGCGCGTTCCTTGCCCCTGGCTCCTTCTCGTTGGTGCCATTTTTGCCTCTTTCCTCCGGACAAAACATCTCCTCTTTCCAAAGTAGGTGCGCACGCACAGGTCTGGACTCCTGGGACCGTGAGGGACCGTGAGAAAGAAGTAGGAGTCACCCAGTGTCTCCAACAAAAATACACCGACTTCGGTGGTCGCTACAGCAAGCGCAAAGATGCCCCACTTGGAGTCGCGGGAGCATCTCTTCTTGTACTTTAGCTAGTAATTTTGGCGGGCAAGGCACAAGTCCAATCCACTCAAGAGGGCCCAAAAGAAGGTGACTCGTAGGAGAGGGGCTCGACGGCACCGACCAACGGCGCCCAGCCAACGTTTTAGAGGCAAGAACCACACAAAAAGGCTGCCCCTCCGGAGACGTGCAAGTTGCCGCGGACCAATAGCGTGCCCGGATTCGATAGCTTTTGCACATTTCGGATTTTTTTGTCAATGGTTTCGTCTTTTGTGCAGCCCTTTTGCCAGATAATTGTCAATAGTTCTTGTCTGCTACTGCTGCCGTCCTTACATTTGCTCTCGTCCCGACTTGCTGTCACCCGCTTTTTTCGTCACCCCATCTTTTCCACAAAGAGATCTCACACATTTTTGTGCTCGTTGGATTCCCTTCATATTGTGGTCGTCCCCCCTCCTTCCGACTTTATTTTTCGTCCTTTCTTCCTTCCCTTTTCTCGTCTCTTTCCATTCACACTCATCACCAACGACCGTTATACCCATCTCCTCTCCTTTTTCTTTCTTCTCCCCCCAATTCACATCACAATGGCTTCTCGTGGCTTCTCCCGGGCTCTGCGGAGCCCCCTGGCCCGCCAGATCGTGGCCCCCGCTCAGCGCCGCACCTTCGTCGCCGCTGCCGGCCTCGTCCGCGCGAAGGCTGCCGTTTCGGCCGTCATGCCCGCCAAGATTGCCCAGCAGCAGGTCCGTGGTGTCAAGACCATTGACTTTGCCGGCTCTGAGGAGCAGGTGTGGGGTGAGTGACACAATTCCAACTCACGAGCGTGATCCGGGTGCATGCAAAGGCAATTGGTGGTTCCTGGGGGACCACAGGACCTTCGCAGTGGCAGCTGGAGGGATCGGGAACTCAATTGAAGGCGAACGGCGTCGTGGCTAACCATTCTTCTTTTTTTGTCTTACAGAGCGTGAGGACTGGCCCAAGGAGAAGCTCCTGGTACGTTTGCAGCCCTAACTAAGCCTTTTCGGGGCCTGGGAACCCCCACACAAGGCACCACAGCTCGACATTGCAGCAAACAACATCCGCTAACCCGCATTTTTCTTCTCTCCAGGACTACTTCAAGGACGACACCTTCGCTCTGATCGGCTACGGCTCGCAGGGCCACGGCCAGGGCCTGAACCTCCGCGACAACGGCGTCAACGTCATCATCGGCGTGCGCAAGGATGGCAAGTCCTGGAAGGACGCCGTCCAGGACGGCTGGGTCCCGGGCAAGAACCTGTTCGAGGTCGACGAGGCCATCTCGCGCGGCAGCATCATCATGAACTTGCTGTCGGACGCCGCGCAGTCCGAGACGTGGCCCCACATCAAGCCCCAGCTGACCAAGGGCAAGACGCTGTACTTCTCGCACGGCTTCTCCCCCGTCTTCAAGGACCTGACCAAGGTCGACGTCCCCAAGGACATTGATGTCATCCTGGTCGCCCCCAAGGGCTCTGGCCGCACCGTGCGCTCGCTCTTCCGCGAGGGCCGCGGTATTAACTCGTCGTTCGCCGTCTATCAGGATGTGACCGGCAAGGCCGAGGAGAAGGCCCAGGCCATTGGTGTGGCTATTGGCTCCGGTTACCTGTACAAGACCACCTTTGAGAAGGAGGTCTACTCGGACCTGTACGGTGAGCGCGGCTGCCTGATGGGCGGCATCCACGGCATGTTCCTGGCCCAGTACGAGGTGCTGCGCGAGCGCGGCCACAGCCCGTCGGAGGCGTTCAACGAGACCGTCGAGGAGGCCACCCAGAGCCTGTACCCCCTGATCGGCGCCAACGGCATGGACTGGATGTACGAGGCCTGCTCGACCACCGCCCGGCGCGGTGCCATTGACTGGTCGCCCCGTTTCAAGGACGCCCTGAAGCCCGTGTTCAACCAGCTGTACGACTCTGTGCGCGACGGCTCCGAGACCAAGCGCTCGCTCGAGTACAACAGCCAGAAGGACTACCGCGAGAAGTACGATGCGGAGATGGACGAGATCCGCAACCTGGAGATCTGGCGTGCCGGCAAGGCCGTCCGGTCGCTGCGCCCCGAGAACCAGAAGTAAGACGTGTTTTGCTTCTGGGGATTGTCACGAGTCGTAGTTGCGAGGCACGGTCTTGGATGAGCGAGTCCAAGGCTTTTTCTTTTTAATTTTTTCACCACCTGTTTAACGTCCTTATGTATCGGTCCTGAGCGGATGATGTTGGGTTTTAGGAATTGGGAAACATACCAAAAATGAAGAGACCAAAGAACGAAATCAAAAGCAACCTGTTTACAGCCAAACGTTTACTGGCCCATCTTGGACGTAAAAGAGAGTGGTTTGACGCACGGCAGGGCTATTTGTAGTGTGCCTGAAGTCAGTCCGACAATGAGAAGCCAAGTGAAGCCCACCGAAATTAAGTAGGCGATGGTGCACTCTTGACTGCGAAGTACGTTAACGTGCATCGTATTTGCTAGGATACTGTTTGCTTCGACCTTCAGTGTTGGATCACGCACTTCCGCCGCTATCGGCGATTGTGCTATTTGCCCCTCTTCTTGGATGATATAGCAAGTGGACTGGACCTCCTGGTAGACAAGCTGAACGCAGGACGCCAAACCCGACGACCAGCGAGTGAAATCATTTGAGAGACAAGAGACCGAGTCCTCGCCGCGCCACGAGTTTCACGATCCCCTCGATCTCCACGATATCTTCCACCCCCACCCCCCCTCCTCGTCCGCCATGGCTGACCTGAGTACTTGCCCGCCACTGACGCGCGCGTCCGTCGTCGAGGCCCACAACCTCATCCGTCCCTTTGTCCACCGCACGCCCGTCTTGACCAACCGCACGATTGACGGCATCGTGTCGACGCCGCGCACCGCCGAGGAGCTGCAGGGCACGCCGTGGGAGGGCGCGACGCCGGCCCGCCCAACGCTGCGCATCTGGTTCAAGTGCGAGAACATGCAACGCGTCGGCGCCTTCAAGGCCCGCGGCGCGTTCCATGCGGTCGAGCGGCTCAAGCGGGAGCCCGGGTGGGAGGCGGGCGGCGGGTTCGCCAAGGGCGTGGCGACGCACAGCTCGGGCAACCACGCCCAGGCGCTGGCGCTGGCGGCGCGCACGGCGGGGCTGCCGGCACACATTGTGATGCCCGCGATCTCGGCCGCCCCCAAGGTGGCGGCCACGCGGGGGTACGGGGCCCGTGTCGTGTTTAGCGGGTCCACGGCCGCCGAGCGCGAGGCCGTGGCGGCGGAGGTGATGGCCGCGACGGGCGCGCGGCTGGTGCCGCCGTACGACCACCCGGACATTATCCTGGGACAGGGCACGGCCGGGCTGGAGCTGCAGGAGCAGGTGGCGGCGGCGAAAGCGCAGACGACCGCGGCCTCGGGCACGGGCGCAGGGCCCACGGCCCTGCTGTACGCGTCCGCCACGGCCCCACAACGAACCACCGCCCCCGGCGGCGGCCTGGACGCCATCATGACCCCATGCGGCGGCGGCGGCCTGCTGGCGGGCACAGTGCTGTCGGCCCAGGGCACGGGCATCCGGGTGTTTGGCGCGGAGCCGTCGCTGGATGGCGCGGACGACTGTGCGCGGGGATTGGCGCAGGGGAAGCGGATCGAGGCCGTCCAGTCGCTGACGATTGCCGACGGACTGCGGACGCCGGTGGGCGTGCACAACTGGGCCGTGCTGACGGGCGACACGCCCGAGAGCCAGGGCCAGGGGGTGCACGGCGTGTACGCGGTGGGCGAGGACCAAATCCGGGCGGCGCTGCGGCTGCTGCTGGAGCGGCTCAAGATTGTTGTGGAGCCGAGCTCGGCGGTGCCGCTGGCGGTGGTGTTGTACAATGAAGAGTTCAGGCGGCGGGTCGAGACCGACGCGGGCGCGGACGGCTGGGATCTGGGGATTGTGTTGAGCGGGGGCAATGTCAGTCTTGAGGGCTTTGCCAAGTTGTTTCCCGAGGCGTAATGTGGTACTTAAACTTATAGACTAGGCAACGTATATACGAACGAAAGAAATGAAATCAAAGACAACGTGGGCTCTCAATTTTGACTCGACGCTGATAAACAATGCTATGTGGATGTGTGGTATAAACGAACAAATAAAAGCACTCTCCTGTATCCCAATAATGCCGAGTCTTATGGAGGAACATAAAAAGTATATACAAAGTAAGAGAAAGGAGGAGACGCGGTCCGATACGGCTCCCATCCAGTCTAGGGCAACTTGTTGAGCTGCTCGTCCATGTTCTTGCGCCACTTGGAGCCGTTGCGGCGCAGCAAAAAGATGCAGGTGTTGCCGACGATCCAGGCCAGCAGGGCAAACATGGTGCAGAGCCAGCCATAGCCCATGGCGCCGATGAGCGGCTGGGCGACAATGGCGCCGACGCACGAGAAGATGTTGCGCAAGAAGTTGTTGAGGGCGATGCCGCCGGAGCTGCGGCGCGGCATAAACTCGGTCAGCATGGTGGTGACGGCGCCAAAGACGAGCATACTGCCGAAGCCAAAGACAAAGTTGGCAATCGAGGGGACGATCCAGTAGATGCCGTGCTGGGCGGTCCAGCCGAACCAGACGAGGGCGGCCGGGAACAGCGAGGCGGAGAGCCAGGCGTTTTCACGCATGCGGTCCTCGGGCAGGAAGACGAGGCGGCCCTGCTGGTCGTAGCGGCCGGCTTTGCGGGCCTCGCGGGCCATGATGTTGTCGATCCAGCGGCCGCCGACGAGGGACGCGAGAATGTAGCCCAGGCTGCTGGGGATGTAGAGCAGGCCGACAATGAGCTCGCTGAACTGGTAGGGCGGCTTGGCGAAGGCGGACTGGATGCTGACGTTGAGCACAAACAGCGAGCCAAAGGTCACGGAGCCGTAGACGACGGTCAAGAGGATGGGCGGAAAGCGAAGATACAGGAGGACGGAGAGCGGCTGCACAAAGGCCACCTTCAGGAAGGAACCCACGCGCTGTGTCTGCACCCGCACCGACTGGGTCGTGGTCATGCGGGCGAGAGCCGGGGCCACGACCGCCCCCGACTCGGCGGCCTCGCCGTCCGCCATGTTTGTGGCCTGTCCCTCGACGTCCGCCTGTGTCTCTGCCTGTGTCTGTGGTGGCTTGTCCGTCCGTTCCTTCTTCTCAAGCTCGCGCGGCGGGCGCCGGTCACGCGCCAGCGTCTCGGGCAGACAAAAGAAGAGCATCACAAAGGCCAGGCCACCATAGATTGTGAGGAACCACATGGTGCTCTCCCACCCCCACTTCTCGGCCAGGGCACCGCCGATGATGGGCGCAAACAGCGGACCCGTCAGCGGGCCCAGGTAGAAGATGCCCATGGCGCGGCCGCGCTCGCGGGGCTCCCAGATGTCGGCGAGCGTGCCGGCACCGACGGCCTGGACAGAGGCCGAGGCACCGCCGGCCAGGACGCGCATGACAATGAGCATGCCGATGCTCTTGCTGATGGCGCTGAGGATGGAGAAGACGACAAACAGGCAAAACGATATGATGTAGATGGTGCGGCGGCCCAGGGTCTCGGAAAAGGACGACCACCACAGCGGGAAGATGCCCATGGCCAGCATGTAGAGGGCCACGTTGAGGTTGGCCGTGGTGGGGGAGGTGTGCAGGTCGACGGTGAGCGAGGCGAGGGCCGGGTAGAGGATGGACGAGCCCAGCGGGCCGCCGGCGGCCGTCAGGGCGACAATCAGCGTGATGAGCCACTTGGTCTTGTTGCGGTACTCGTAGGGGCGCTCGACCTCGGGCAAAATGGCAAACTGGCCAAACAGGCCGCGGCGCTTGGACCGGGGAATGATGGTGGGCGCGCGGGAGACGGTGCGGGCGAGCGACAGCGAGGCGGGCCGCTCGTTGGCCTGCTGCGACATTTGCACCTCGAGAGCCTGCAGACCGGCGCCTGGCTCGTTGGCCATGGGCAGGGTGCCGTCGTCGTCGGGATGCTCTTGGTGGACGTCGCTGGTGTCGTTGCGGCGGCCAGCGTCCTCTGGGTCTCCGTCGGAAGAGTCATCCGAGTCGTCCAAGTCGTCGTGGCTGTCGTGGCTGTCGCGGCTGTCGGTGTGCTCTTCCTTGTTCTTTGCTGCATCGGCTGCATCTCGTGATGTCACCTTGTCTGGTCGTGTGCTTTCACTCTTCTCGTCAACATTGTCCAAAACAGACCGCGGGGATGGCTCGCCGGCCTGTGTCGATCCCGCCAAGCCTGCTGTTGACGGTGGAGAGAGCTCAGAACTCGATCCAGTAGCTGATCCAGTCACTGATCTCGTAGCTGCACCAGTGCCGGCGCCGGGGTGCAGCTCGGCGTGATCGTTGCCGTCGTTGGCCATGGTCTGCGGAGGGCTGCGCTTGTACCGTGGGCGGACAGCCAGTTATTGTGGTGATCGGGTGACGTTGGGTTTCAGGGCATGTACAGATACGTCAGATAAGGTCACGCTTCTCGTACGGGCTCGCGAGACATGATGTGCAAAGTCGGCTTCTGGTGATGCAATTTGATTCGGCAAAGGGGTAACAAAACAAAGACAGATTTGGCTGGTGGCTGCGTGTTTTTTCTCATACGACACAAGATAAAAGCGACGAGAAAACAAGAATCTCTAGATAGCAAAGAGATACCTGGGAATAATAAATCCCGAAAAAAAAAAAACGAACAGCAAAGACCGCAAAACTAGGGAACGCCTTGTCGATATGGGAGACTAGAGGCGACTACAAACTACAGGCGCCGATCGACGGCGATGGCAAAAAGACGGGCGCCTTAGCCGAGTTTCAGTGGACTAGGACAGGACAATTGCCAGCTATTGTTAGGGGCACCTTCCGGAGAGGGCATGCAATTTTGTTGCAATGGTGACGGAAAGTGCCAACGACGGTGCCAAAGAAGCGAAAGCGCGAAAAAGGGAAGGAGGGAAGGATGGTGACAGGGTGAGTCCTCCTTCTGTATCAGGGAAGAGGTGAGATGGGGGCGAGTGGGCTCATTTGAGTCGGAGCCGAGGTCGTTCTTTCCACAACGAAATTTGTCTTTATTCTGTAGACATGTCTTTACTGACAAGGTAGGGGCGATTAAGGAAGGTGTTTTCTCTGTTAAAGCAATACCCACCGATTGACAATGGACAGCCATCGGATAATCGGCATGGCTCTCGTGCCGTCCGTGCAGAGGCCCCGCTCCGTTAGCGGTCGTCCTTTGTGTACGATATACGACATACAACGTGCTTTTGGGGGCCTTTTGCAGGCCCCAGCATTGAAGGGGCATCTCCACACTGTCCCTTTCTCCACGCCCGCGACAAAGTTTATCTATCCCAGGCTTGAGCGTCGCTCCATGCCGGGCAAGGAGACGAGGGAGAATAAACACTGTATTTATGTTGGAAGAAAAGCTTCTTCTGGCGTCGTCTACATATGCACCAATCGATGTTGCGCCGACAGACCGCCACCTGACGCCCGTCGCATTAGTTATTACTTGCATCGGACCGTGCGCGGCGTCAACTTGCACACCAACTTGCATTGACTTTGTGTTACGAGTGCTTCATGTGCATAACTTGAGTGCTGCCCGTTGCGGCGCCATACGACAGGTTACAAGTAAACGAGGCACATACTCGCTACGCCGTAGGCGTACTTACTCCGTACGTTGCAATGGGCATGGACGCATTCGTCTCACTACCGACAGCGGTTGATCCTCACGCGCCGGCATCCCGACGCCGGCTCTTACTCCCGTGTCTCGTTATGCTTGGTATCCGTCGTAGGCATATTTGGCCGAGGCGGGTGCAGCCAACCGATGATAGCAGACAAGAATGAGCCGGGTAGTTTGGTACCTGGTTGCATAAAACGCAGCATAGCTTACACCGTCGCAGTTCGACGACTGAGAGATAGCAGGATATGTTGCAGAGACATGTCGCACGGAGTATAAAAAGCAATATACGAACAGATGAGAGAAATGACGGAGTGCTTTCTACGCACTTTTGTATTGGCTGGCAGATGTGCCCATGTAAATGTCGCATTCTGCGGGATAACGTGCAAATACATGCTTTCGACGTCATTTTGCGCAAGTTCGCAATGCGAGGGTTGCATTTGATAGCATCCAAGAGCTGTACTTGGTATTATGAGGCAAAGCCGTTCGTTTACGGTTAATGTTCAGTATTCATGATAAAACTGGGTCTGTAGCTGTTACCAGCTGGTTCCCTTTCTAGAAAGAGCTCGCCATGATTCCGCCAGCTCGTACACGGCAGGTCCGTCGCCGAAGAGTCAACACGGTCTTACTTTTACGGAGGCTGTCTGCGAAGGAAAGAGCGCCAGGATCGGTCTGGGTCTCCGATCCCGCCTTGTACCTCGATTTGTGGGGAGTGGCAATCCGAATGAGGCAGGCGGTCAGCGCCAATTTGCGGGTGCGCCACCAACAGCCATGTTCTTCCGTCCCAAGTTTTCTGCCGACTACGGCAGCTGTGACCGTCTAGCCTGCTTCTACTTCTGTACATTGACCTCAAAAGGCAATTGACGACAGATGAGCTCCGTCTTCGATCAATTGATATACAAAATACTCAACCCCGTTGCTTCTCTTCTCTTTTCTTGAGCTGCCTCTCTTTCTGTCCATCACACAAACAGACACAAACACACGCGCACGACAATGTCCCTCACAGACGCAGCGCCGGCCGACGCCGCCCGCGCCGCCAAGGCCGCCTCCCACGTCCTGGCCACGCTCTCCGCCGACGAGCGCAACGATGCCCTGCTCGCCATGCACGACGCCCTGGCCGCGAATCGCGATGCCATCCTGGCTGCCAACGCCAAGGACCTGGCCCTTGCCCAGCGTGAGGCCGCCGAGGGCCGCCTCAACCCGTCCCTCGTCTCGCGCCTTGACCTCGGCCGCAAGGGCAAGTGGGAGGACATGCTGCAGGGCATTCTAGACGTCCGCGGCCTGCCCGACCCTGTCGGCCGCGTCACGCTGCGCACCCGCCTCGACGACGGCCTGACGCTCGAGCGCGTCACCTGCCCCATTGGCGTGCTGCTCGTCATTTTCGAGGCCCGTCCCGAGGTGCTGGCCAACATTGCCGCGCTGGCCGTCAAGTCGGGCAATGCGGCGCTGCTCAAGGGCGGCAAAGAGTCCACGCAGACCATGCTGGCCATGGCCACCGCCCTCGCCGCGGCGCTCCAGGGCAACTCGCACGTGCCCCCCGCCGCCGTCCAGCTGGTCACCCGCCGCGACGTTGTCCAGGAGCTGCTGGCCCTCGACCGCGACATTGACCTCGTGGTCCCCCGCGGCTCCAACGAGCTTGTGCGGTCCATCAAGGCCGGCACCCGCATTCCCGTGCTGGGCCACGCCGACGGCCTGTGCAGCATCTTTCTGGATGCGGGCGTCGTCGACGCCGCCCAGGCCGCGTCGCTGCTGCTCGACGCCAAGACGGGCTACACGGCCGCCTGCAACAGCGTCGAGACGCTGCTCGTGCACGAGGCGGCCCTCGCGGAGCCGGCGTTTGCCGCCGCCGCCCGCACACTGCTGGGCGCAGGCGTGACGCTGCGCTGCGACGCGGCCGCCAAGGCGGCCCTGCTGTCGGCACTCACACGCCCGACCGACGGCGAGGCGGCGCGGGCCCAGATTGTCGACGCCGTCGACGACGACTTTGACACCGAGTTCCTGTCGCTGGACCTGGCCGTCAAGGCCGTGCCCTCGCTCGACGCCGCCATTGCGCACATCAACGCGCACGGCTCGCACCACACAGACGCCATCCTGACGCCCTCGGAAGCCCATGCAGAGAAATTCATGGCGGCCGTGGACTCGGCCGGCGTCTACTGGAACGCGTCGACGCGGTTTGCCGACGGCATGCGCTACGGTTTCGGCACCGAGGTGGGCATCAGCACCAACAAGATCCACTCGCGCGGCCCCGTCGGCCTGGAAGGCCTGACCATCTACAAGTACAAGCTGCGCGGGTCCGGGCAGGCGCCCAACCAATACGGCGACGGCAAGAAGCAGTACAAACACGAGTCGCTGTCGTTGGATGACTAGAGGGGTCGGCGAAGACAAAAGGGGGCGAGGAGACAAAAGGAGAGCGATGCTTGTGACGCAAAAGGAAAATTTTTTTTTAAAAAAAATATAAGAAACAATAAAAACCGAAAAAAAAACGGAAGCGATATACCCAAAATCAAATTAGCGGCAATATTTGGTATTTCTGCTCTTCGCAGCAGCTGGACAACGGAAATGGGAAAAGTGGAAATTGAACGATTTTTGAATTTTACCAATGTGCCATTGACCTAGTAATTATACAAACAGAGGAGGGAGAGACGGAAAGAGTTTTTCGCTTTTGTCGTCTCCCGAACCCTGAGGTGAGTTGGGATGAAACAATTTCCTTTCATGTTTCGGGGGAAAAAACGGTGCCCGTTCTATCCCCTAGAACATGCATCTCTTCTCTTGTTACTTTCGTAGCATAACGTCGTGTCATCATATATATAGAAAGGAGGAAGGGTGAGGTGGTTAAACGACACAAAAGAGAAAAGAAGAGGAGAGAGTCAGAAGAGAATGAAGCAAAAACGAGAACCCAACTGTCCAGAAAACCAAAATAGAACCAAGAGAACCCCGGGAAATGGCAAGACAGGACAAAAACGAAATGAGAAGAAAAGGAAGAGAGAGAGAGAGAGAGCAGCGCGGGGATTACTCCCGTCCGCGGTTGCCCATCTTCTCAATCGAACTCATCAGACCACTTCGCGTTCCCAGACCGCTTGGAGGCCGCGGTAGGCTGCCCGCCGAACCGCTCATTTTCCGATCATGGCCGATCCGACCAATCCGGCTCGGCACACCGCCCGTCGACATGGTCGAGCTGCTGGGCGGCTTGAGGCCCGACACGCGACCGCCGGTACCGTGCATGCTCATGGGGCGCGTGCGGGCGGGCGTCGTAGCAGTCGAGGCAATGTTCGAGGCGATGTTCGAGGCGGCGCCGTCCATGGCCATGCTGTTGCGGTGGCCGGTGCTGCTCGGCGGTCGGCTGATACCCGACATGGATGTCCGGCTGGCAGGGGCGGGCGTCTTGGGCTTGCGAGGTGACATGGACTGGCCGTAGCCCGAGCTGGCGACGGTTGACTGCCGTCTGGCCGTAGCAGGCGTGGCCGCCGCCGCGGGCGCCGGCGGTGCGGCGGACGACGAGGCAATAAAGCTCTGCTGCATGGACATCATCTCCTCCGCCAGGCTGACGAGCTCGCCCTTTTCGACGCGCTCCTGCTCCAGCAGCGTGCGCAGTTCGGCGTTGTCAGCCTTGACCGAGCGCAGGACCGCCTCGAGCTTGTTGACCTCGGCGCCCAACTCCTTGATCTGCGTCGCGTCGCGCGCCTCGCGCTCACGCCGCTCTTCCTCGGCGCGGCGCTCCTCTTCGCCAGGCACCACCTTGGATAGTGTGGCGTCGCGGCCGATGCGCAGCTTGTCGTTCTCCTGCGCCAGCGCCTCGGCGACCGTCTCGAGCTCGTGCACCCGCTTCTCCCAGCGCGCCTCGTAGCTCTTCTTGAGCGCCGCCACCTTGGCCTCGTGCTTGGCCTTGTAGGCCACGTGCAGCTCACGCGCGACACGCTCGACTGCAATCTCCACTTCACGCTGCACGGTGCCCGAGCCACCAGACCCAGCCGCCGACGAAGTTGAGCCGCCAGGGCTGCCGGTCGCCCGTCCTGCGCGCATCGCTGCCATCTTGGTTTCGGCCTCCTGAGCCATCATCTCAGCGGCTTCGCGGCGCTTGTCGGACTCGTCGAGCTTGGCCTCGAGCTCATCGCGGTCGCGGTGACCCATGACAATCTCGCCCTTGACTTTACGCAGCACCTCCTCCATCTCACGGCCGCGGCGCTCCCACTGGCCCTTCTCCTCGGACAGCAGGTCACGCGCGCCGCGCTCCTCGCGCAGCTGCTCCATACACTCGCCGACGCGCTTCTCGGCGTCGCCCACGGCAGTCTTGAGGGCCAGCACCTCGGCCTCCTTGCCACTAAGAGTCGCCTTGAGGCTGCTGATTTCAGACAAGAAGTTGGACTTGAGGCTCTCCAGTTCGCGTGGCGTGACGGTCGGGATGCTGCGCGGCGTTGGCATGGGCGGGATCTCAAAGTCGAGGAGGTTGACCAGGCTCTTGCGCTGCGGCGTCGCAGAAGTCGCGCTGGCATGGTCGGTGGCGCCCGTGCCGTTCGCAGTAAGCTGAGGACCGAAGCGTTCCTTGGAGGGCGACAGCTGTGCGTTATGTGCCATGCGGAGCTGCTCGGTAAAGTCCATCAGCAGGCTCGCCGTGTTTCCGGGCTCGTAGTGTCCGTTGCGGTTCGGGGCAGGACCGCCATGGTTGGCGGTGCCGTGACCAGTGCCGTTGGTGGTGCCGTTGGCGCGAGGTGTGCGCGCGACAGACGACGTTGGTCCACTGGGGCCAGACATGGACCCGGACCTTGACCGCGCCGCCGTGTGGTGGCCGAAACCGTTATGCGGAGGCGGCGGCTTGCTGGGGCTGTTGCTTCCGTGGGTGCTGTTGCCACGGCTGAGACGGGACATCATCGCCGCGTTGGGAACGGCCGAGAAGGTGCTGAATGTGCTGGCCATGGTGTCGTCCATACCGGCCACACCACCCTCTTCAGGAGCCGGTGAGTTCCGCGGGCTGCTGGTGTTGGCAAAGCTGTCCCGCCGTCTCTGCGGCGGGTGCGGTGTGCGCTGCTTTTGTGTGTTTCCATCCTCGCTGTGCCCGCTTCCGTGGCTGCTACTTGCCGCATCGTTTTCAATGACGCTCGTCTCGTCTTCAAAGATCTCAATGGCTTGCTTGAGGCCCTCGTTCAGCTGGATAGCCTCATCGAGACTCATCTGGCGGCCGTGCAGCGACTTCTGTTGCTGTTGGATGCTGGCAAACATGGCCTGGCCCGGCTGCGACGGCGACTCCGGCGCCGGCTGGCTCAGCTGCGAGGCGACGGGTTGCGGGGCATGATGGGCTAGCTGGGCTAGTTGGGCCGGCTGTTGCATGGGCGATCTAGGACCGACGGGCGAGGCAGTGCCCGACGACGCGACCGACCCAACCGATACGGCAGCCGAGGCCACAGGAGGCACGCTGATCTTAACAGGGAACCGCTTCTCGGGGCCAGTGAACTTGCGCGGTGTGCGGCCTAGGGGGAGTGCGGGAGGCAGCATCTGGTTGGAGGACGACGACATTCTACGCGAGGACGGCGGATAGGTCGGGGGCGGCGAAGAGGCGGCCGAGGAGGCCTGGTCGTCAGCAGTGTCGCGACGGCTTTCGGCGCCACTGTCGGGCGAGGCAGGGCTGCCCATGGTTGCGGTGCTGGTGGCAGACGACGAGGGGGGCCCGACGGCAACGCGCCCCTGGAGAATCTTAAGGGGCGACAACTCGCTGCCCGACATAATGCGCGAGCCGGGCCGGCCTTGCCGACCTGACATTGTGGGCGGCGGTGCTGTGGATGTAATGACGGGCGGTGGGACGGGCTTCGTGTTGTTGTTGATGTTGTTGTTGTTGTGCATGCTGTTGTGACTGGGGCTCGAGTTGGAGTTCGGGTGCGGCGACACGTTCTCTTGGCTGCTGCTGTTGTGTTGGCTGTTGTCGTGGTGTGCGGGCTCGGTGTGGATGACCGAGTTCATAAACGGCGAGCTGTTCGCCGACGTGTCCATGGTGGCCATGTCGAAGTCGACGTCGGTGTTGTTGACAATGTCTTTGGTCGGGGAGGGAAAGACAAAGGGAGGGAGCTGGTTGGTGGATGACGCGGTCGTGGCCTTGTCGGCGAGAATGTGTGTCGTGGTCACGGAGGAGACGTGGACGACGTCGTAATCGTCAAACGCGGGTGTTGGCTGGTTAGGAATGTTGTCGTTGTTGAGCGTCGCGTGCTGGAGAGGCGACAATGGCGAGGCCATGAGAGATGGAGATTTGAGATGAAGATGACCGAAGGATGTGGGGAGCAAAAGCACAAACGGTCAATGGGTGTCTCGCTTTTGTGTCTCTGTCTCTCTGTGCGTGACTGGGTGTTTCGTGTTTCTTCTTTGTCCGCGTTCTTTGCGCCGTCGCCTAAAAGCAATAGGCACAATCGGATGGGAAGCGCAAACGGCCAATCGTGAAGAGATCCTCAACCAAAATCAAGAACTGAACACGCTGGACAGACGAACAAGGATACGCAAGACGATAAGAGGACGGTGGGGAGGGAGAGGGCACGCAGAAAGAAAAATGGCTGCGCAGAATCAAGTCAATAGGAACAAAACGAAGGCAGAAAAAGATTGCGAGGGCGACAAAGACACGGAGTAGGGGCAAAAAAAAAGAGGTGTGTCGGAAAAAGCAACAAAAGCGGTGATGCGGTGAGGCGCATCGCATTAGGGACGGCCTGGCTTGGTCGCACCTGCCGTGGCCACCCACAAGACGACCCCAATGGGAAGGAATGGGCACAAAGTCTGGCACGCTGTTATTACTCCAGGGTGAAGTGTGCCCACAACGCCCCATTAACCTGCCCGCGCTCAAATGGGAAACCGCAGACCGCGTTTCGTGCTAGTCCTAAAGAAGTAGGGTTGCTAGGGTAACAGTGGGTTTGTAGTGTCACGTGAGAGTACCAACTTGACGACCGTGACGGCTAGGCGGGTGCCCCCGTTTGACGCCAACTGTAGCGCTGTTTTTGGGGCCGTTGGCGCTGATAATCAGGGGCAAATAGGGGTAAATGGAGATGTGATGAAAGAGACAGGTCCTCCCTGATTGAAGAAGACCGTCAACGAACATTCATCGACGTCGCAATCAATTGCCACAGCCACAGCCCTCTCAGTAATGCGACGTACGCCCGCCCTTCGCATAACAAATGATTGAAATTGCTGGGCAAGGCGAACAACAACGAGAACTGCCGCGGCCTGTGTGTGGTCGCCAGAGCCACCACACACAGGCCGCAATTTTAGCTGCAATATTCCCAAATTCATGCGCGACTACGTCTTACACGGACGCGCACATCTCTATTGGAACAAAAATAGACGTGTCGCAGGTGACTAACATGCACGGCTACCAAAATAAGCTTCGCGCCTCATCTCGTCGGCATATGTGGGCACGGGCTCAATTGCCAGGTCAAGCCAGGGATAGCTCAGCACACAACCACGGCCTCATATGTCATTTGTTTGCAGAAGCTAAGGCCTTGCACCAGACGAGCGAGACGTGTCGGAATGTGTTACACGCGTTGTATTGCACTGCTCACTTCCTCCTGTGTTCATCTTGGCGTTGAAGCTCGTCAACGTCCACATGTCCAGCCTTGTCCTGTTTGACATTGTCGTCCATAAGGCTATTTTGTGTACCGAGGTCTATCCAGAAGCAGACTTAACTGAATGGCCTAATGCACGGAGCGTCAAGTCGCGAGTGCAGCTCCAAGCCCCTATATTTGTGTAGGTTCTCTTGTTTTGTTATCTCACGAAACGTCCCCGGTCATACTACGTGCTGTCCTGTGTACAGAATATTGTTCACAATGTCATCCGAAGATGAGGACGAAGTAAGCCTCATCTTAAATTCCCTGCCACGCGGGACAAGCATCGTATGTTAGTGTAAAATGTTGTGTCGACATCGCTGCATACATTCCGCTATGTTACGATCTATGTATCGCTCACACACTCTGTGTACATGCTTTACTTTACACCTGCGCTCTCAAGTAAGGACAGGCAGCAAGTCACAATGAAATACAATATACGTCGTGCAGAGTCAAGGATAAAGATATAGTAATCACTTTTTTGGTCTTAAAAATAGAAAGGTCGTTAGGGTCATTAAGAAACAGGAAAGGACACACAGTTAAGGAACAAGGACCGAGTCACCAAAACGTGACCTGTGGCACAGATGTATCGTAAAAAAGGAGAAGGCAGGGTGGGAGCATAGAGAAGCGCAAAACACCCAGATATGAACGGCAACAGAAATTGAGTGGGAGTTTGTAACTCAGAACCCCGACTAAGAAGGACTCTTTCCCATCCGCCATCGTATTTGGCGGGAAAGACGGCTCGTGGGAAGAAATACATGACATGTGCACTGGATGAAGGGGAAACTTTGTGCTTTGGGTAGTGTGGATTTTGTGGTCTTTTTAGTTCGGTTCTTTGTTTGCAGTCCAGCTCAAACTGGCGTATGCCGTTAATAAAAGCCTGGTTTACATCACAGGCTGGCAAACGTATTTGCGCGCGCTTGCAGTGTATTTTCCATCTCTTCCTCCACGATATCAAAAAAAGAAAACATTCTCCCGATATCCCCGTAAAACGTTGATCTGGCCACATAAAACGATACAGTCATAACGAAAAAAAAGAGGCAAAACGGGTAGGAGTTCGAAAAGGGGAGACGGATAAAAAAAATAAAGATGAACAAAAAAAAGGAATAAAATCTTTAAAAATTAAATCCTTCCATGCGGGTTTGGGGCGTCAAGTCATCAGGCATTTACACCATTTCAGGCATTTTAAAGGCACAGAAAAAAAAAGAGAAGAAAAAAAAGAGAAGAAAAAAAGACGATGTGTCGAGGCTGGTCTCGAGATGCGTGTTCGTAACGAGGGTTGTCCTCTCGATCCGAGCGCTCCCGCAGACACAAACGAAAACAATAGAAAAATAAAATGAGAAAGGGAAAAATAGCAGGCTTGCTTTCGAAGGAGTGGTCGTTCAGTCTCGTAGCGAGATGATTCAATATGTCGTTGGTGTGGGTCCCGTGTTATCGTATAAAAATGTTGGTCGAAAAAAATAGTCGTAAAAAATGCATGTCCATGATCGCTTTTCGTCCAGGGTTTCTCTTGGGGTCATTAATCACTTGAAAGCATTTTCCCGTTTTCGGTCCTTGGTGGAGTCCGAATACCAGGGATGAGAAAGAAAAGTAGAAAGAGAAAAGAAACAAAATCGAAAACAATAGAAAGGTCGAGAAGATCGCGAAACGGCGTCGTACGTGTGTTGGTCGAAATCGAACAGAAAATAGTAGGTTTGCAACCGAAAACAATGATAACAGATTATCTATGTCTCGGAGCACCAACGGGTGGCGCTGCGCGGTTGATGGCCGACGCATCGTACACGGCCGACGGCATCGACGAGTCGAGCAGCGTCTTACGGCGCTTCATGTCCAGGGAGGACCTGTCGTCGTCGTCGTCGCGGCCACGCTTCATACCTGCTGACGTACCGTTCAGAGTCGGGGTGGTGTAGCCGTTGGGCATGGTGCCGGGCAGGTCTGCTGGGCCGGCGTAGACATCCTGGGTTGGGGCGCCGTTCGCGTTTCCACGATCGCTCGTCACGACGTTGTACAGGTTGCTCGACGCCTGAGTGGCGGCAGACGTGGCGCCCGTGCGCGGCGGCGTGCTGTAGCCCTGCTGGGCGTAGTACGCCTGCGAGACGGCACTGCGCGGGGTCGACCGTCCGGAGGTGGCTTGGTGGTTGGCAGCAGCAGCCGCTGCGACATCGGTGGAGAGGTGCGTGTGTTCGCTCGGCAGAGTAGCCACTTGGGGTGCACCGTAGTTGTACTGAGCGCGGCTCGCATCGTACGTGTTGCTGTCGTGCGTGTACTCAGTTTCGTGCTCGTGCTCATGCTCGTCCTCTGGCACACCACTGTGGGACACACCGTCTCCGGCGTGGCCGTTGTGGGCGTGCTGCAGGAGGCCGTTCGCTTGCGACTTGTTGTCGACGACGGGCTCGTTGCCAGACGGGCCAGCAATCGACGAGCGGTTGTTCACCGGTGCAGGCATCTCGGCCTTGACGTAACCGCCCGCGGCAGCCGCAGCGGCGGCGGCAACGGCGTTGTGGCCGTAGATGTTGTTGCGGTCGTGGGGGCTGCTGTTGGGAGCGGCACCAGGGTAGGCCTGGCTTTGCTGCTGCTGGTTGTGGTGCGGCGTGTGCTGCTGCGAAGGCGGCTGCTGAGTAGCCGGGGCCGGCGTCTGGTGGTGGTACATGGAGCGCGAGGCATCGTATGTCTGGGTTGTCGGGGGGTACTGCTGCATCGCTTGCAGGTGCGGGCCTGGAGGGGTGGTAGCGGGTGTGGCAGGCATGGAGCGAGCGTTGCTCAGGCTCGTGTCTATTGACATTGGGTTGGCAGCCTGAGCGCCATTGACACCCTGCTGCGGCCATGAGAACGGCTCGGACGCGCTCATCCCACTGCCCATGACGCTTGACGCACTGGTCGGCGGCGTGGGGAAAGTGTGGGCGCGGTCGAGTGGCGGGCGGCCGGTGGGTGTCGTCATGTTGGCATGGGACGGCAACGTCTGCTGCGGGCCAGGAAGGGCCATGGTCGAGTGGTGCTGCAGGGACGGCAGACCAGGGGCTCCCGGCTGACCGTTGCGCATCTGGCCCTGCTCCTGTTTCCGGCGCTCGGCGGCGGCCATGACCTGGCTCGTACGGGTCTGGTTGGTGGGGTGGTACAGCAGAGCAGCAATGTTATGCACGAAGAGGGGAAACAGAAGCTCAGTGATCTTCTCCTTGTTGGCAAAGTCCAGCGCACGCTCAAAGGGGATCCTGTTGTTTGGTTAGATTCGAGCCAAAAAGACGAAATTGCGAATAGTAGTGTCATAAATAAACGTACCACACGCCTTTCAAGTGCATCGGGCCAATTTTGACGACGTGGCGGACCTTTTCGCTCTTCAGAATACCGTCACGGCGACCGCGAGTCATACCAGCAACGTTCAGGAGCTTAGTGCCGTTGATCATGTGGTTGTCTTTCTTGGGGTTAGTGAAAGGCCTTATAATCAATATGTTTGTACCCTGACCAAGGAAGTCTCACCTTCTCTCCGGGCCACGCAGATGCCGCGAGCCTCAACCTGGAAGCAGAGGCTGCCCTCGTCTTCCCAGAGCGTAGCCGTGACACGGGGTTTCATGCCGGGCGGGGCAATCTGGCCGGTGTTGTCGAAACCCGAGTAGCTGTTCTGCATACCCTGTTGCGCGGCGACACCCGGGAGCG